ATTAAATAAAACCCTACCCGAAAATTTGTTAAAGTGGTAATTAAAGTTTTAATTTACCTCTATTAAAAATGCATTTGAAATTATTCAACTTTTGAAAAATAAAATGTTATCTTTAATTCACATTTTAATCCGCTGTAACAGTCATTTCATAAATAAAATAAAAGTATTTATGATTTAATTGATAATATTTTTACGTCATTAACTTTATTTAAAAATTGTTATAATTTTTAAACCACAAAAAAAAAAAAAAAGTTTGCAGAAGGTAGGATCGAACCTAGGTCGCACCGCATTGCAGGCGAGTACACTACGGACTGAGCCACTTTGCTGTACTACCATAAGGTAGAATCAATTGGTATATAAGCTGCGCTTAAAATTTTAGAGCCTTTTTTCTTGGAATCTTCTGGCTAGTGCGCTTTACAATTCTTCTGGGTGGACATCCTTGAGGTATACTACGAACCTGCCAAGTCTCATCCCGAACTGAATTTCCGAGATCGTAAGGTCCCCTTTTTAGTTGGTACGTGTGAAAATATACACATTTCGGGCTCCTAAGCCCCTCTTCAGCCAACTAAAATATTAAAGAAGTATACAACACATATATAAAAATACATAAGTTTTTTAGAATTTATAAAAATATCTTGATTTAAAACGTACCTATGCATACACAAGTTTTACAAATTAAAGTGATATCAGCTTATTCTTAAATTTCTTCAATACATCTCCATTACTTTAGATGTCAGAGACATCACAAATGCACTACTACAATTAAGCATACCGAACAATGTTTGATGTGAAATACTATTCACCTCCATGACCTGGGGTACAACTATTATTAAAGACAGTACTTAATTAACCATACTTTCCATCTTGTATGTCACTCATAAATTAGTTTTGTAAAATCATTACCTCCGTTGATAATCATTCATAATATAATACAAATTTACATATCATATGACGTCTATGACAATTTTACAGTTGTATATTTTTGTTAAGTTATTTAACAGTTTAATATCTATTATTATAAATTATTACATGGATTATAATAATAATAATATTATTATTTTTTTTTTCCATATCACTCCATATAAAACAAAATATATTTAATATGGAATACACTAAGATCAAAAATAGAACTAGTATAAATACCAAACAAATTCAACATTTAAATGCACTCAAGAGAAAATTTATTCTTTCAGGATACTCAAACAGAATTCTTAGCACTTGGGAAAAAGAAATAGCCAAAAAAATAGATAAAAAATAAGAATAGATCCTAAACAAATGGACATAAAATACATTCGTTTTCCATACATAAAAGGCTTGTATGAGGAAGTTAATAAAGAAGTTAAAAAAATTAATGTAAAACTGGTACTGACCTATGAAAAGCTACACTCTAGATTAACTGCAAAACAACTTAGAAAGACAAACATAGCATAGAAAGAAGAAAGCAAAAATGTAGTTTATAAAATTCCATGCATATGTGAAAATACTAATTTTTATATAGGAGAAACTAAACATAAAGTTAAAGGAAGATTGAAAGAACATATAGCCGATTTAAAATATCAAAGACTAAATTCTGCCTTTCATGAACACTGTCTTTTAAATGATTGTAATATAGATAAAACTAATATAAATAGTTTACACAGAGAAAAAGATACATATAAAAGAAAATTTAAAGAAAGTATAGAGATCATCAAAACTCAAAATTGTATATTATAAAAATCCTAGCATTTCAATAAGTGAAAACTGGTTAAGAATTTTATATTAATTATTAATCATGTTCAGCAGTGTTTCTCAACCTCTAACGAATCATCGCCCCCTTCAACGTAGTATCGACCCCTCAAAAGAAAATTTAAAGAAAGTATAGAGATCATCAAAACTCAAAATTGTATATTATAAAAATCCTAGCATTTCTATAAGTGAAAACTGGTTAAGAATTTTATATTAATCATGTTTACCAGCTTCAAGAAATTGTATTATTATTATAGTCCATGTAATAATTTATAACATTAAATATTAAAATGTTAAATAACTTAACAATAACATACAACTGTAAAATTGTAATAGGTGTCAGATATGTAAATTTGTTATTGTATATTGTGAATGAGTACCAACGGTAGTAGTGATTTTACAAAACTAATTTATGAGTGACATACAGAATGGGAAGTATAGTTAATTAAGTACCACTTTAATAATACTTGTACCCCAGGTTGTGAAGGTGAATAATATTTCATATCAGACATTGTTCAGTATGCTTACTTGTCATAGTGCATTTGCGATGTGCGATGTCTGTGACGTATAATGTAATGGAGATGTAATGAAAAAACTTAAGAATAAGATGATGTCACTTTAATTTGTAAGACTTGTATCCATAGGTATGTATTAGATCAATATATTTTTATAAATTCTGCAAAACTTATGTATTTTTTATATATGTTGTATACTCTTTTAATATTTTAGTTGGCTGAAGAGGGGCTTAGGAGCCCGAAACGTGTAACTTTTCACACGTATCACCTAAATAAAGATGAGAAAGCCCGCCAAGTGTCTTAATTTATAACACTTATTGTGTTTGAAGCAACAACAATAGTGTATGTTGTAATTAGCAATAACATTTCATAGGATATTGCTATCAAACTACAGTAGAGCGTTGTTTATCCGAAAGCCAGTCAACAGAAATGCCAGTTAACTGAAAGCGTTCCAGTCAGCAAATTTAAATTTCCGCTAGTGCTGTGGCACTGCAACCTTTGGCTATGTCTTGGGCTACTCCAATATTTTATTTTGTTGGTGTGTGTGTTTTAGCTGGCAGCACTGGCAATTTTGTGTGGTGTTTTTCTGAGGACTGTGTGTCGTGCTGAATCGAACGTTTTTGATACTAGATTAACTTCTAAAGTATAATTGTTTTCGTTTTTATATTTTTCAATATATTTATTTTGTTTGTACAAAATAAAGAAATCATTTTTAACAATACAATAGCCACGATTATTATTATAAAAATTTTCATTAGGCTTAACATTGACAAAAATTCAACACAAAGCGACATGCAACGGAGAAAAATTTCAACATGGGATAGGTTAATATATTTTTTTTATATGTAATCGGTTATCCAAAAATTAAGTTATCCGAACAACCCCAGTCCCCAATTGATTCAGATAAACAACACTCTACTGTATTTAAATAGTGGTTCATGTACTTCAAAGACTAAAGTTTATCATCAAAAAGCTTCTTTGGTTTAACTTCAAAATGTTGTATTTGATGAATCACATTGACATTCTGTAGAATGTTAACCATAACAGAACTGAAAGTTAAATTACAGATTGAAAAGTGTTGCTTAATATAACTAGGTCTCAAAGTATCATTTCTAACAACTAAGTGACATAGTACATAATGAGGATACTTACTCATTCTTAAATATCACTAAATGTCCACACTCATATATAAATAATATATGATTGCTATACATTTTAAACTATTTGAAAAAAAAAATAATTTTTAAGAGAATTTTAATGTTACTTAGCTTTAACTGAGTGCAGCTACTTATGCCCATTAAATTACAGGTAACCCCCGTATAACACGGCACTTCTATAGCACGGATTCACTCTAACATGGTTCGAGAATTGGGAACATCCCCCATATAGCACGGGTTCACTCTAACACAGTTTGGAAATTGGGTAAAAAAACCCTCGTACAACATAAAATGTAATAAAGGGTGCATTCTTTTACACCTCCGTGCGAGCATTCTAATTGTTTTCGTGGCTACTTTGAATGCTCTTTCAACAAATAATTCATTTAATGGTTAAATTTTACAATTGGGAACCTTCTTTTGCCTCTAAAAGCTCATTTTAGAATTATAGATTCCTCCACACAATACTATTGATAGTGTGGGAGCCGCCATCTTTCTTTCACTGTTGTTCCTAAATGCCTACAAACAGCAGTGCACTCTTGTTGCAGAGTGACCGCTATTAACGAACTCACCCAAAAACTGTTACCAGTTGATGATGCTCATGCCAAGATCATCATATAAAATGAATAATCCTCTGGTAAAATATTTACTTAAATAATAAATAAGCATTTTACCTATGAAAAAAAAGAATAATAAATCCGATTTAAATAAGGATTTAACAACATGTTTTTTAATTTTTGGAACCTAACCCCCCTTTTCGTACTNTAAACAATTATTTATTAATTAAATAAACAGTCTCTAATGAATTTTCAGTTTGAGAAGAATCTTTAACTGGATGTTAATTAACTCAGAATAATTCATCTATGTTTAGAATCTCACTTATTTTAATTGTGAGAAAAAAATTACTACTTTTCTTAAATTTAAAATTAAATTCATCATTAAAACTCACATGTTTCTGTATTTTCTTTACCAAATAAACTTGTACTAAATTTAGGCAAAGTCCACTGCAACCAAAGAGTAATTCGGGTCTTTTCTTCTCCTTTTAAAGATACATCTGTTAAAGATGAAGCATTTTCAGAATTCATTTCTTTTTCTCCAGTTGATACATCAATAACTTCTGCTGGAGTGTTTGCTGTCAAACTAGTATCGATCAAAAGATTCGTTTTTGACATAGATTCAATTGGAGTTAAAATACTGAAAGTATCATGAATCTTTAAAGAATCCATCCATTTGTTTATCTTCATCTGTTCATAACAGTCTAACATACATTTCATTGCATTCACCATTATTTGTACCTAATTATATACAAAACATCTAAATTACTGTCACTTTCCATAAAATTATTTATTTATGTGTTTCTAATTTTAAACCAATTAAACTAAATTTATATACAGAAGAATCCCAATTATCTGAATATTGAATAACTGAGGTTCTGCATTCTATGGCACAAACCAGCAAGTGTAATACAGTCGACCCCCCTATAACGCAGTAGATACATTCCACTTTATAAAAATTTTACGTTGTAGGAATCCTTAAATACATGAGCCAATCACAGCCCGGCATATGTGCAGTTTATGGACTACGGCTGTTTGAAAGGTTTTTTTCCATAAAATTAATTGATTCTAGACTACTTTGACTCAACATTTCCAAAACACGTATAATTTTTTGGGAATAATCCGTATAAACTATGCTATAAACAAAAAATTGTAGGATTATTTACCGAGTGTGCACTGTTCGACGACACCATTGCTTAAGCTTGTTTTCGTCGTGGAGCAACGCACCAAACGGCGGGCGCGTTTTCTGATAAGTTATTTTTCTGTGAAAAATTAGTTGAACTTTGGAGACATTATTAATAGAAATAATTTTTATGGCCGTTGAATAAGAAATATTTTTTCACAAGAAATGTATAAAATTACAGTACTGTATTAGACTTACAGTACCTAATTTAGGCCTATATACTGTACAGACAATAGTAAACTCAACTTACCCGCCTAAACTCTCCGTAGCGTGTAAGTAGTTCAGGATTGGTCCAGATTCGACCAATCCTGTCGCAACACGAGTCGGCGATGATGTTTTACTGCATTTTACTAGTCTCTGTTAACGTCTTTATACGAATACGGTCGCAATTTTTTTGCCACAATATACGAATCCGCATTACATGAACCTGTGTTTTAGGGGGTCTACTTTATACTACTTTGCTGTGAATGTATTGAAAACATAAATACTGTGTGAGGGACGAACAGACCCACAATAAAGTGTTATTTTAAATTTTAATTATTGGAAACTTTAATCGGTTAAATTCGAGCATTTTATCGAGTTAGGCTAAAAGCCATAAAAATTATTTCCCATGGAGTTTGTTCCTTGTTGAGTCGGATAAAGTTAGTCAGGGATGTGTCACCCGGAACTTTCGATGGAGTGCCTATATTGGACGCCAGACCCTTAACAACAACCACCTGACCTAATGGAAAAACCCAAGAGGAATAACAAGAGAAAAGGAAAAAGACCCCGAGGTCAGTCGTCATCCAAAGTCCCTCTACAAGAGTCGTCTTCAAAAAGGCCGCCCAACAAAATCGTCCTCCAGAATTAAAGTCGTGATCCAGATTTAAAATCGTGACCCAGGATTAACCCCGAAAGCAAAATTCGTGCCTGATTAAGCCTCTACACTCCTCTGTGCCTCCACACCAGTGAATGGACATGATTCGGACCTAGTGGAAAGAACAGTCCACCGACAAGGTATTTATCAACCCGCAATTCGTTTGTAAACTCTCTCTCTCGACGGGCCTCTCTTGAATAGAGGAACTATGACCGAAATTAACTCTCTTTGTATTTCCTTTAGTTTCATTAAAATTGTTAATTGTTAGCAACCATGGAATCCGATTAAATTACTTCCTTGTCTCTCTCCTCACCTCTACTCCGAATCCAATCGCTCACCTGCTACCGCTTGCGTGACATAACATCGCGATTTCCGAGTCCTGCGAGACTCGGTGGTGTCAGATTCAGGTCTCCTGACGTGGTATCAAAGAGACACCGACCCTACGGTCACAGTGGTGTCAGGAGTGTGATTTTTAAGGCCCCCAGGGCCCCCGGAAGTACGAAAACAAAAGACCGACGCAAAAACAAAACATTGGAAAAAATTTAGACTCCGAGAGAAAAGCAAACTCCGATCAAAGGTCACAGTGGTGTCAGAGCGGGATAGAATTTAGAAACGACCCTAGATAACTAAGGTCGGGCGCAAGGAGAGACAGCAGGAGGTGCACGAGCAGAGCCCGCAGGAGGAGCCGCGTTAGGCGGATTAGGAGGCATGATTCCATTGATACCTTCCTTTGCAAGGGACACAGAGGGCCTTAAGGTCACCAATTTTTTTGAGTCTTTAGACGAAATCGCAAAATTAACTAGTTGGAGTAAAGCACAATGTTTAGGAATCGCAAAGTTAAAATTAATGGAGATAGCCCAAGAATTTGCATGGAAGGATGCAAAGATGAAGGAGGTGGTGACATATGAGAATTCAAGAAACTCATGATTAAGAGATTTGATAGAGAGCCAATTTCTTTACGTTTACAAAAATTTCATGCCTGTGTCCAAGGGCGAGACGAAGATGTACAAACCTATGCCATGCGATTACAGACCCTGGTAAGGGATACGATGGTAGAACAAACTAGCGGGGATGCGCAGGAAAGGGAAGTTATCAAAAGAGGTCAACAAAAAGAGAGAAACGAAAGATTGCTGGTGCAATTCCTCAGCGGCTTAAATGAGCGTATAAAAAGACAAGTGATGTTGCGAGATCCGGAGACATTCGATAAGGCGGTGCAGGCAGCCATCAGCGAGGAAACTATTGAACAATTAACGGCGTGTAAGTAGCATAGTGTAAGTAGTTCAGGATTGGTCCAGATTCGACCAATCCTGTCGCAACACGAGTCGGCGATGATGTTTTACTGCATTTTACTAGTCTCTGTTAGCGTCTTTATACGAATACGGTCGCAATTTTTTTGCCACGATATACGAATCCATATTACATGAACCTGTGTTTTAGAGGGGTCTACTGTATACTACTTTGCTGTGAATGTATTGAAAACATAAATACTGTAGTACTTTAACTGTATTCAGTGAGTGGTCAAGAAGCTGTAGACTAATGGAATACAGACACAGTCACAACTCTCTCCAACTTCACATTTCCTGTTTATTTCATCATTGTCAGTGTGTTGCCAGTATTAACGCCTTAAGTTCTTCGCCCAAGTTAACTCGGGCAGGTTACATAGCCTTACATAAAACTCGGTCCTTTCGGCCCCCAAAAAAAATTTTTGTTTTTTTTTTTTATTTTTGGAATGTTTTTTAAGTCTCCAAATTTTTTCAAAAATTTTTACCCACGCAAAAAAAATTTATCGCGATTTTAATTAGCCTTTGATAAGGCTCGATTAAGGCTTAATTGTTTTTTTAATGGGATTTTTTTATCAAAATTAATTAATCATTCTAAAGTTGTAGTGCATGGATTTTCCTTCGGTAAAGTTATTTAAAGCTAGTTTCTGATGTCAAAAAACCCTCCAATACTTTTTTATTTTTTTAATTAATAGATTTTATTATATATACGTTTAATTAAATCGGGGGGTCAAAAATCCAATAAAATTTTTAATTTTTTTAAAATATTTAAAAATATACGGCCAGCTAGTATTCACCCTACTTTAAACCCTTCTCCTCCCGAGACGTCTATGAGAATGTCCCGGGAAATCCGACACCAGCTGTTCTCAAGGTCATTCAGCTAAACAATGACTCATCAGTGTCAAATTTCACAGAAAGGCGAGACAAAGGAAAATAAAGTTTGAAGCTTTTTCTTCAAAATTAACGCATTTCTTTCGTTTTTTTCAGTTTTAAGTATTTTTTGTTTAATTACATTAATATCAAAAATTGCTGGGAACTAAAGGGNTCGCCTCCCGAGACTTTTATGAGAATGTCCCAGGAAATCCGACTCCAGCTGTGTTCAAGGTCATCCAGCTGTGTAAACAATGACTCATCGGTGTCAAATTTCGCAGAAAGGCGAGACAAAGGAAAATAAAGTTTGAAGGTTTTTCTTCAAAATTAACGCATTTCTTTCGTTTTTTTTCAGTTTTAAGTATTTTTTGTTTAATTACATTAATATCAAAAATTGCTGGGAACTTAAGGGGTTAATTATATCTGCCAGTGTGTAGTCAGTGGTTTCTACAACTTTAATAAACTTTTACAAGTCTTCATCTTGCAGATCATGAATGGTTAAAGGAAGCATGTTGTGATATCTTCTTACTTTAAAATGGCCATAGCCATCCATTTTATCTGTTTTCATTTATTTGAGGTAGCATTGGTCCACATTAGCTCATATAATTGGGGTTCTACTGTATTAATAAAAAATATTGTATTTCTTAACAATTATTTTTAAGATGCTTAAAAAAATGTTGAAAACTAAACTAAAAGTCACTAAACATTATTCTTAACTGGAAGAGAAATGCAAGTTTTCACATTTTCACAATTTATCCTTTTCACACCACAAGAACTTACAGCAGAGTTCATCTTCTTTGGTAGGCTCTCCTCCTCATTTTTTAATTATACCAATTCCAGCAGAATGTTTTCAATAATTTTACATATTTAGATAGGAAAAATCCTACCAAAGAAAGCTAAGAACATTATCACATAACATGAGCATTGGTTCATGTGATGTGATAATACAAATTTAAAAACTAAATTTTGTTACATTTAAAAATTTTGTAATAATTTGTCTTTTACATAAATTACTGAGATCATAGCCGAAAAGTCGAACCTCAGTGCATTTTATATTAGTTCCTGGTATGAAAAATGATAAGTGAAGATGTCATTTTGGATAGTCTAAAGTTTGTATTCTTAATTTAAATTTTCTGTTTGTCTTCTGGTTAAAAATATTGAAATGAAGAGAAAGAAAATCAATTTTAATTGCATGTATAATATAGAAATTATAGAAGTATATGATTACTTTGAATTATAGAAGTATATTATTTATTTTGCAAAATATTTCAAAATTTATTTCTATATACCTGAATTGCTGATAAACAAAGATGTAAGGGTTCTGTATCGACATGAATGCAAAACCCAAGTTGTGTAGATGGCGACAGAGCAGATTTGGTATTATCAGCTAAAGTTATTGCAGCAGACGTTGGCTTTAGGATATATCGAGTGCTTCCTTTTTTGTGTAATGAATAAAGACTAGAATTGTAAAGTTGTATTGACCAAGAAAATGTTGTTGATTCTAAAAGACATGTTTTAATAAGTATTACTACAAAAAAATTAATTAATTAATTCTTAATTATATAAACAAACTAAGAAATATTTAATAACAAGCAAATTAAAGTTACTTATATGAAAATATAATAGCTTTCAAATCTAATTTAATTGTTAAATATATTTTTACATTGCAAATACTTTTATTTTAATTAACAACCAACTCTATTCAACAATAGTTTTCTTTTTTTGAAAATATTTATAAAGCACAGTTATATTATGGAAAGTCTTCAAATAATATCATTTTGTTATAATACTGATGAAGAAGAAAAAAAAATTGGTTTCCGTTTGGGGCTGCTATCTGTGTAGAGTTTGCTTGATTCTTAGTCTGCATGGATTTTCTTTGGATACTCAAATCCCCCACTACATCTCAAAGATATGCATGTTAGGTTAATTGGCATGTCTTAATTTTCTCAGTATGAGTGTGTATGAGTGGTCTCTGCAATGGAATGGTATCCTGTTCAGAGATGGAACTTGCTTATTCCTGTTCAAGAATAAACAAAGTTCCATCCCTGAATTTAGAAAATAAATAAATAAGTATAAATTATTGTAAAATAAAATTCTTTAAAGTATATGATAACCATACAAATGTACATTACAATAACAATTGATGTGATACAGAAGTACTCGGTAAACCTAACATATTTGTTATTCACGATTTCAGCCAAACTGACACCTTCTGGCAGAAAAAATTCTAATTAGCACAAACAGAGCAAAAAGACAAACTGCATTTTAAGTATTTAGGATGGCCAAAAGGCTCAAAATATTATTGTTATGAACTGCAAAGTATATTGACTAAATAATTATCATGTTTTCATTAATCTTTTTTAAATGTATTTTTAGTTCACATTTATTTCAATGTTTCATACTAAAAGTGTTTTGGGCCTTTATTTAGAGTTTTGTGGTGTTTGCAATCAGAAATATGCTGTAGGAACTTAACTCACATTTATGTTAATTAGTCTACGATAAAATTGGTTTTGTTACATGAGTTTTGAGTGAGGTTTTGTTACATGTTGTTCACTTAATATAAGTTTCCAAGAATCTATCAATGATGTTAAGTGAAGATTTATTGTACGTTATATCTGAAGCAAAAACTAACTGTATTCTAATATGGTAATAATATAAATAATTATTTTTAACTGCTGTAAGAGCTCACATCCTATTTAAAGTTTTAAGTATATCCATTTTAAATATATTAAATTTAATATAATGAGACTAAAAATACTATGTTTTTTGATAATATACTATGATATGTTTTTAAGTCTCAATATAGACTCAGCATAATAAAGTAGTTAAAAAAAAAAAGAGAGAGATTAATATGTTTAAAATGAAATTAAATGATTATCTTATACAGATTACAATTAAAATGATATAAAAATATAACATGACTCAAAAAATATGAGTAAATATGTCACAAAATTCTGCAATTAAAAATGTATAAAATCATATAACAGAATTAGTGCCAAAAATAGAATTTACCTTAAATATGTAAATTAATTGCAGATAATCCACATTTAAATCTGTCAAGTTTAATTTATAAAATATATTATGATAAAATAGATAAGTACAGTGGTGCCTTGTACTTTGAATGTTTCAGAGTCTAAACATTAAATTTGAGAGAAATTAGTTCCAGAGTTCAAATGATGTTTCTATGTTAGAATTGTGTGTGCAAGTGAAAAAATGCACTCAATGCATACACACCATCTGTTACATGTCCAAGTTGTCTCTCACTCTTACTGTAAAAGCATCTTTTGCATTATACTTGTGAGTTTTCAATGCTTGTTTTACTTTATTTTTATTGTTTGATTATAAATATAACTCCTACTTATTAACCATGGTATCTAAGAATGTGTGGAAGCAACATAGCCTAAGCAGAAGGTTGTAGAATCAAAGGGTGAAGTGTAAAAGAAACGTATTTCGAAGCATGAAAATGCTACACATGATGGATCTGGCATCCACGTTTAAAGATGCCAAAGATGATAGCATGCACCATTCTTAAGAACAAGGTAATAAGCACAAGCAGCAAGTGAGGTCCAAGAAATTGCATGTTATCAAGGAACCTTATATTTCAGTCCACACAAGGATAAATTCAAAAGCTCCTCCTAGTGTGAATAAATGAAAAACAATTGGCTAATGATATCATCTTCAAGAAGATTATTTGTAAAAAAGTCAAGCAGCTGCATAGTGACCTTAAGAAAAGGAACAAAACCACTCCTCACTAAAGTATAATAAATTAAATTTTCATTTTATCATACAGTATTTGTGTATTTTGTTTACTGTTTCCATGTTTTCATTTATTATTCAGTGCATTTAATTGTGTTATTTTTAACTTAAGTGTATTTGCAATTTAGGTTTATTGAAATGGTTATTGTTTAAGATTTAGGAATAGATTAATTCACTTTTCATTATTTCTGACAGGAAAAATTGATTTGGACTTTGAGCAATTTGTAGTTCAAACAACTGACATGTTAATTTATTAAATATACTTTAAAAGTTTACTCTACAGCTTTATTAGCAATAAACAAAAATATATTTTGCTTATTGCTAATAAAGTTGTAATACAATAATGCAAAAAGTTCAATATCTGTATTAGGGTTTCTTTCCCAGAATCATGTTTTCATGGGATTCCTGCCGTTTATTCCCTACGAGAAAAATCCTGGGAAATTTTATTTTCCCTGGAAATCTCGCATTTCAATAATAATTTATTGTCATGTTTTCTTTCTATCATTTATTATAAGTTGCATCTTGTAGACTCACCTAAGAGAAATTTTGAGGTTTCATGCTGCATATTATTACCTATGTTTTACAAGTCTCTACTTGTTAGTTCATGTAATATCTATATATTGTGTTTGCGCATCATTGAACAGCAGAGCACTCGCTGAAAGTAAATATCACTCATCACACTTTAGTTTCGAATTTGCATTTATAAGTTAAGGAATTTGTTAAAGCTTGCATTCCCATTTATATCCTATCGTTTGTAACTGTAAGTGTGATTATTTGAAATTTCTCTATTAGTCAATTACTCGTATTTTACAACAATTTATTTTAATATAATTTATAAACTCAAATCATTGGCGTTTTCAGCTGCAAGTCTTTTTGTCAAATTGAGAACTAGATTAAGTGATCAAAGTATCGATCATTTTTGTTTTTTGAAGTCTTATTATGAAAATTTATAAGTTTTTTTTTTTGAGAGAGAGAGAGAGAGATTTTTTCATAAATTTCTTTAGTAGTATTTTTTTTGTTCAACTGAAAATAATTTTTTTGGAGAAGTTGTATTTTTTGTTCAATTCAAAATAATTCTTTTTTCTCATTAAATTTATGGAATAAGTATATCTTTTATTTTATCTTTAGAAATAAAATAGTATTTTTTTCATAATCATTATTATGTTTATTAAAACTTCCAATGAAATGCTTTATTTTAATTACATCTTATAATGTAGGAGAACATAAATTAATCGAGCCTAACACGTCAGTATGGGTGAGATTGGCCCTACACTTACTAGAAAATAAATTAAATTATTTAAATTTATGATATTCCTGTATGATATGTTTTATTCATATGAAATTCTATTTTATTATCTCATCCCAGAATTTCCTGGAAAATGAGAAATCCTAGTAAGCAGTTTTCAACAAACTTTAATAAATTGTTTCTTTTTATTTGTGAAAATTTCTATGTAATTCAAAGATAATTTTTAATATATATCTTACACAACACTATTAATATAATTTTGGAGGTTGAAGAACATATTAAATTACTTTAAAAAATAAAAATAATTATATCATATGATTTCAAGATATTTTGTATATCTTAAAAATAATTATGTTTANTATATATTTTGACAGCTAGCATTTTAAGGCTTATTTGTAAAAAATTTTGTTTGATTTTGTGCAATTGTTTATTTTTTGTGTCCCATCAAATATGGAAGATCAAAAGCAGCATTTTCGGCATATTTTGCTCATTTATTACTGAAAAGGTAAGAATGCTGTTCAAGCGAGAAAAAAATTGTGTGATGTGTATGGAGAAGATGTATTGACAGAATGACAGTGCCAAAACTGGTTTACAAAATTTCATTCTCACAATTTCAAAATTGAAGATGCCCCACATTCTGGATGGACAATGAAAACAAAATAAAGGTACTGATTGAAGCAAACTGCCGAATAACAACACATGAAATCACTAAAAGATTAAATTTGTCAAATTGAACTGTTTATGATTACTTGAAACAAATTGGTTTTGTTTCAAAGCTCAATATATGGGTTCACATGTTCTTAAAGAGAGATGCCCTCTTTGGTGAAATTTTAAGAAAATTGTTTGGGAGCTTTTGAATCAATTTAACAATTGATTCAAAAGTGTACTGACATCAAGTAAACAAATTGAGTAATATCATCAAACAGAAAACGTGGCCAGAATTGATCAACAAAACAGGTGTAGTGTTTTACCATGATAATGTCAAATTTCACACAAGTTTGGTAACTCGTAAAAAATTGTTATAACTTAGATGGGATGTGCTATCACACCAACCATATTCGCCAGATCGAGCACACTCAGATTATTATTTGTTCCAGTGTATACAAATTTTTTTAACTGTACAACATTTACTTGAAATGACAATGTCAAAAATCACTTGGATCAGTTTTTTGTAAGCAACGATCAACACTTTTATGAATGTGAAATCATGCTACTACCAGAAACGATGACAACAGGTATTTGACCAAAATGGTCAATATATAATTCAATAAAACATTTATTTATTATAAAAATATTGTTTTTTCCACGGGAAAAACAACGAAATTACTTTCCAAACAACCCAATAGAAAAGTACTGTATTGATGTTGTGTTTAATGTAAAGGTGGATAAATAAATAACCAGCCAAAAACAACATCATGGTTGGTTATTTATTGATCCATTCTTATAGTTTATTTAGACAAAAAAATAGATATATCTCACCAAGATTCCAATCCTCCATATTAATTGCTGGTAATTCTTTATTTGACAAAGTTCCAGTTTGTTTTGCATTGGAGACATTTCTATTCTGTAACTTCAGTTGCGGAAGTGATAAAATGGATGCAAGAGAGAGATTATCATTAATGTAAGCATTTTTCCAGGAAGATAATACGGAGTTTCCAGTGTAAACGTCACTCGAAGTTGCCCACATTTGTGAAGTAAACAGAATGCAACAACTTTCTACTTCAATCTGTGATAAATTTTGTTATTCTATAATATATATATATATATATATATATTTAAATAATTAAAAATATTTTACCAAAGAAACTTACCTGTGCTAAAATGTATTTTAAAATATTATAAAAATATGTTATCCTTTCTATCAAATCTGAAGATAATATTTCATTTAAAGTAGCATTTTTTGAAGTGTTGGTTACCGGAAGTGAATGAGATTTGCTAGCTGTTTGGCTGTTACTTGGAGTTGCTGTATGACTGCTACTAATCGAATTATCTGCAATTGTAATATGAAAATATGAATAGAAATAAATACCATACAGAATGTTGTAAATGCCAAAAAAAAAACTTTTCAGGAGAGGTAAAAAAACATTTTTTCTAATGAATGAATTCATTTCAATTTTACAGTAAAATGATTTAAAAAAAACTCACTGGTTACAAATTCTCTGGAATATCAAAATGATGTAAATATAAGCTGCACCAAAAGTCACATGACTTGTACTCTGGCACTTTAAATGTTATATTTTCATATAAATTCATCTTCAAAATACAGCCACTTACACTGCCAATATCACCACAATATTCTTTTGCGGTAGAAAACATTGCATTCAGAATTCAATTCTTCAATAAAATGTATTTAGAAAAAATGGCATTTTCAATGTTATGGCATTGCAATATATATAATCTTTAATTATATAATATATGGTGAAGTGTAAAAGAAACGNTTATATAATATATATAATTTTTCATTTTTTACTCCTTCCACTCTGTGGAGAGGCCTTTTTTCATACCTATTTTGAGTACAGAAAAAGCCTTCTTATTCGACACAGTGTGTTTGGAAAGGTAGTGAGGAATGGGGCCCAACATATCCAAGACAACTGCCCACAAAAAATTCTTTGAGAGTTGCTCACCTGGATTCAATTCCAGGTTCCCAGAGTGATAAAATGATACCTTAACTGTCTTGGCCATCTAACTGGCATACATTGTATATTAGTAATACCATTATGAAAATTACAGAAAATAAAGTACACAGACTACAATTTAGTACAAGATATTAAAATTTTAAAAATAATTTTATACATACCCTCAGTCCCAGAAATAATACAACAGCAGCACAGATATTAAGTTTTAGGATACTCAATCAAAAAAAAACAATTAAATTTCCATTTAAAACGACAAACATTTTTCTCTTTATTCCTATCTTAGAAATTTCTATAATTTTCAAAGAATATTTTTTGCATCTTCTTAAATAAAAATTTTATCACTTTTCAAAGGTCAAGCAGAACAGTCTAAAACAGAAGGACAATGTTGTTGTCGTTGGAACTGAAAGTGAATAAAGGAGACTGGATTTTTCTTAAATCTTTACTAATATTAATGAAATTCATCTTCTAAGCATTGTATTTCAATAGAATTTTTTCAAATTAAATAAAAACAAATAAATAAAATGTAAGTCAAAATAGACAAGTCCCAAACAAACTCATAAGCTAGCTGTAAGAACACTAAAAACACTGAATTACACAGCAAAAAAAAATCTTAAAAAATTACAAATAACTCCATTAACTAATTATGAATGATAGGACTAACATTTTTAATCCTATCCACAAGTTATTTATGGTTCCTTAAGATGTTTTTGTGCTGTATAGTTACACATCAGTCTGGATAAATATTGTGAGTGAAACACTGAATTGTTTATAGAAACTATCCCATTATTTTTAATGGATAAGGAAAACTAAAAATACACTTTTGTATTTAAAGAAAGTATAATAATCGATTAATAATAAAATGTGAGATAAGCAGGGGGTCACTGGGTCAATCCCTAATGACCACTTACACTGCACGGATTGTTGAAGCCCAACCTCTGTGTCATCGAATGCGTAAACCTTGATAGGAGGGCAAATTGTCGAGTGGGGAGTGCATTGGTAAGTCGATAGGTTCCGTTCCAAAAGGACAGGAGACAGGGTTTAACATAAAAAAATAAAAGTTTATTCTATAACTAATGTTAGGATACAAGAGAATCTACAGATCTTTATGCTGTTATTCTATTGACTAATTACACAAGGACAGCGACTAAATTCTAAGCTCTGTCACGTGCCTAATTTCTATATCAAGAGACAGTTTACAAAGTTTCTAGCCCTAATATATATAATACCTCTCAGTCATAATGGAGAGTTGTAGGTGACAATCATTGCTTTCTGGAAGAGTCAGAGCCGCTGCAATGTCTTCCAGCTGGTGTTGCCTCCTTGGACTGAATCGAGTCCATTGAATGGAGGTCTGGGAGATGAAATGGGCACTAATAACTTCCAGTTCGATTGCCCCGTGCTTCTGATGGCTGTCACTTTTATACGATTGTCGTGGGAAATGAGTCACATGATCGATCGTTGTTGACGATGACAGTGCATTCTTTGACAGCTGTGTGTCAACTTTCCCACCTAATTGTTGATGTAAAAGGTGACATCTGCCCTGCTTCTCCATGAGAAGAGTTTTTTTCCCTGGGGTGTTTATTTTCCCAACTATTTTAACAATTTCTTTAGGCTAATTTTCCCCCAATTCGCATCAAAAACTTCGCGGGCTCACAAAAATTTCTACTTTCATATATTTAAAAAAAAATGGATAAAAAATCTACAAAATAACATCTTGATTAATTATCAAATAAAATAATTTAAGATAATTTTAATAATATAAATCCAACATTTAATTACACAGTATAAAAATGGATTTGTTTGTACAAAATTTAATTATAATATTTTAATAATGAAAAATTAATGATTTACTTTTTAATCTAAACAATAATTTTGATTTTTTGCAATACCTTGATAAGATTCATCTATTGGCGATGAAATGATCGAAGCAGGTTCAGCCATTTTCACATTCATTGAAAGGACATTATTTAAAGCCAAACGATCAATAAACCACAGCTTAATTGCAGGATCAAGATTTCCAGCCATTCCACTTAATTGAAGTTTCAATAATATTGGAGCTGAAAATATATAAATCACATAAACATCTACATAGATTAATAATCACTACATGTAAAAATAAAATAGTGTTTTATTATTACTTTCAATTTTCATAATTGCTAAAGAGATTATGATTGATACAAATTTATTACAAAATCTATATTATCATTAGCTGATTATGCTTTTATGCTGATATGCATATGCTTTTAGTAAAATAATTTCACGATAAAATCATGCCATTCCTAATCTCTTAAAAAAATTTTGTTTTTAATATGAATTACAGGTAACCCCCATATAACACGGGAGTTATGTTCCAAAAAATTGCCATGTTATGCAAATCCGTATTATACAAAACAAAGAATTAGTACAAAAAGGGGGGTTAGGTTCCAAAAATTAAAAAACATGCTATTATATTTTCATAATTAAGATAAATATCTTTATTAAAATTTTCTTAAGCAATACATATTAATATAAATTAAACAATCTTTTCTTCGTCATCACTAAACACTATTAACCAAAGGCATTTTCTTTTTGGCAGATATCCTTATCCTTTGAGCATTTTTCTGCATTATCTTCAGATCAATGCTCTACTTTCGCAAAAAATATGTTATTTTAGATTGCTTGCTTTTAGTTAAAAGATCTTTATAAATTTCCTTATATGGTATTAAGCACTTATGAAGAATAAAGCAAGTATGGAATAAGGGGAAACATCTGGCAACAAAAATCAGAAGCGTCGAGATCTGGCAACACTGAAACAAATTTCGAGAAGGATTATGTGTATTGACAGAAGGCAGAAAAGAAAATTTATATACTTAAGTACTAATAGTTCACGAAAATAATAATTTTCGTGAACTATTAGTATTTAATTAAGTATGTGAAAATTTATTACATTTCAAATTGTATGAGGGTTTTTACCCAATTCTCAAACCGTGTTAGAGTGAATCTGTGCTATAGAAGTGCCGTATTATACGGGGGTTACCTGTAGTTCATCAATATATTTATAAACACGACAAGTAAGAGAATCTTTTTTCATTTTGGATTCTTTCTTCCTTACAGAGACTAAGAAAGACTTTTTCTATGTCCATTACAGTTCGACTAGCCCACAACAAAAAGTCAGGTAGAGGTATAGAGAGTTGAACATATTTGGGACAGATTGCCCATGAAAAATTCCCAGAGTTCTTTGTCCATTCAGACTTGATCCCGAGACCCCAGAGAAGCAGAGCAGATGCCTTAATGTCAACTATCTGGTCTAAGTCAGTAGTTTACATTGCTGAAGCATCAGTGGAAACAACCATCAATTTCAATCACAACTAATGATTTACATTGTGAGGAAAACTAACGATTGCTTTTGTTATAATAATGATCTTTTTTTGGATCCATTTTCTTGACTCTTGGATACTGGAACATGTGGAATTGCTGTAGTTAAAACAGCAGTCTGTTATTTTCAGTGTCACACTCCATTTATTCTGAAAGTTTGGATAAAGAATGTTATATGCATGATATATTCTTTAATACTGAATATAACTAGTTCAAATTTCTATATAAGTTGTGTAACATAGGTTTTCCCCATGTATAAGTACCACCACCTGTAGACATTCATTCAAGTTATCTTCAGCTGTGTAAATACTCCCGTAGCACATGGTCTGCAAGGTTGAACAAAACAAAAAGGAACAGTTAAAACAAATAGTCGGCGTAACAGTGTGATTTTGTAAACAAATACGCGACTAATGAACAAATACATGATTCAAAGTCCGATCGTATTACAATGTTATTTCTATACCAATTCTCCCTCTCCTGACCATCCTTCCTTATGTGAAACCCTCCTTTCTCCTGATAGACCATACAAAAACCAATAACACTAAGGTAACATCAAATAAACAGTTGGGGAAAAGAGTATACAATAATACATATGAGAATAAACTTTTTATCATACAGGCGTTAATTACCAATGACTGTCGTCAGACAGTCATTGGTAATTAACTGGTAATTAATTGGTAATTAATTGGTAATTAACTGGTATGATAAAAAGTTTATTCTATTAAATAGTCGGCGTGCTGTCCACTTTTGTATTATTGATAATACATATGAGATTTCCCTTTGCTCCAAAAATTCACGATGACACTATAGTCAGTCCTTTACCCTGTTTTGTGGTGATCCTTTTTGTTTCTTGACCTCGATGAAAATGGATTTCCTTTCCAATCCAAGATTTCTTCAATCCCCGGATGATTGGTTCTCTTGTACCTCTTTCCTAGTCCTCACAACCTGCTGTGTCCTCTGGTCACTCACATACAAAGAAATCCCTGAACAAAAAGCACCTTCACGTGGGTTACCCTTGTTTTTATACCACCTGCCAATAGATGTCGTTCTGTCCCATGTGACTGCACATTGGGCCAATCACCACATCATACGCCCTACCAGCAGAGAACTGGTGGTACCAAGGAAGGAAGAAAAGATGTCTCCGCACGAAAACAGACATGTGACAAATGGAAAACAAACAAAAAATAAATAAATAAATAGAGTAAAAAATAATATACCTTGTACATAAATAGCTGCAAAGCACTACAGCTGGGATTTTTTATATTCTCCCAGGCCTTTCTTTACAGTTCTGATGTTCTCTAGCAAAACAGGGAAACCATTTTTTTCATTACATTATATATTGTACTGTACATATGTGTATACACGGAAAAACCCATCAGTCTGACAATTTATATAGAACCTTTACTTATTGTTATATGCAATATTAAAGATAATATACAATATACCTACAAATATATGCTGTACTCAGAGGTGTAGCTACTGTGGAGCAGTTAGAACAAACTGTTCCAAGCACATGAATCATGAGAGTGCTAAGTTAAAAAGGAAGAAATAAAAACTTGTAAAAACATTTGTAAACAAATTTTTTGGATTTAATAATTAATCAATTAACTATTTTATTTGAATCTGTTCAACAATTATGTACACTTTTTATGCTTATCACCTGAATATCTTGTCCCGTCATCTGATAAAAATATTCCAGAAAGATAAGAATTGTTATAATCAGCATATTCCTCCAAAATTTTGTCTAGTTTTGGACTTCAACTACTTCAATTTAAAATGTGTTATATTCAGTTAAAAAAAATTACTTCTATATGCCAAGTTGCTGAACTACTTTTAATTCACACCACATCCTCAAGTAGCTTCTCCAATATTATTGTAGCATGCCTCATTTTTTTAGCTTTACAGGCAATGACAGCGACAACAGAACAAAGTTTTTCAAAACTAAAATTAATCAAAGCCTATTTAACCTCACCTGTGTTATTCCCGACATATATCGGGGTCGTGACCTTTGACCCGCTGGGTTAAACACAATATATCTCATTATGTTTTTGATACTAGATGTGACTATGCATCATAATTTTTATATTAAAACAAACTTTCGAAATATAATTTTTTTGTTTTTATATTTTTCAATATATTTATTTTATTTGTGCAAAATAAAAAAATAATTTTTAAGGATACAGTAGCCATGATTATTATTTTAAAAAAATATTTTCATTAGGCTTCACATCAACAAAAATTCAACATGGCAGCCACACGCAACAGAGAAAAATTTCAACATGGGATAAGTTAAGAAGCAGCATGTCACAACAAAGTCTTAGCTCTGGCTACTATATCAATTAAGAAAACAATAGCTGTCAACTTAATCTGGAGAAAGTGATTGACCGATTTGCAAACGAGAAAGCGAGAAAACAGTTATGAAGTTTTTTTTTTATGTATTATTATGTATTTGTTACAATACTAAATTTGCATACATTTTGTCAATACAGTTTATATAATACTTACTAAATATTATTAGGTACTCCATACTTAAAGAATTACATTTTATTTTATTATTATTTTTGTATTTATTAAATTGAATATCTTATTGTTGAAATGCCTCAAATTGTAAATAAATTATATAAGGTTTTAAATTAAAAAAATTAGATATATGTTTTTAAATTAAATGTTTGAAATACATTTCATCAAAGCACTTCCGAGGAAGAAAGAGTGCACCGATTCTACTTGCTCCAGGGCACCGAACATGTAGCTAAGCCACTTGCTGTACCACTGAAATGAATTCATTGCTTAGTATCCATGCTTTTTCCTCTGAAATGCTGACAGTGTCAGCATTTCAGAGGACTTCAATTCTTGAATTCAATGATAAATTTGATTTTGGCCATCAACCCTGTTAACTAATGTTTTTCATTTGCTATCACAAGCAATTTTCTTTGCTATGTTGTAATCCAATAACTTCACAAAAGTAATAAAATAAGCACATTTGGATTCAATATCAAATGACTACACCATGATGTGACTGCAGTTATATCACAATTTAATGACAAAAATATAACATATTTCATGGTCACTCATTAGTCATCCATTCTAATGTCACTTTGAATACAAATGTGAGAGTAAGCTGCATGCATCCTCAACTGAGTAAAAAATGAGAAAAGTTTATGGTGAGGGTAAATAGCTGTCAAGTGATATTTCTGAATTCCATCCTGCCATTGCTTCTACCCTATTTCCAGTCTATTATAATAGCTCAAATGATGAAATTTGCCAGATTTGAACCGATTACGTCTACTTTGCACTTCTGGACATGACTGTACCACAAAATTGCTAATGTATCAAGCCCACACACAAGAGCTACTTGTTTTGTCTCACAAATAATACTTCACTGCACTGCCTACATATAACTAGATCAACCACTGGTTTTCTATGATACTTGGCTTATGCAAACTTCTAAAATACAGTTGAAAGTGTATGAAAGGGTTTCTCATTTCCTGGTCTTTTGCTTGTCTTGGGATTCCAGGATAAAAGTGAACGGTTTTCTGGGATCCCAAAAAATCCCGGGATAAAATTAATTCTTTTTAACTTATACAAAATATTTTGAAATCAAATGATATAATTATTTTTCATTTTTTAAAGTAATTTAATATGTTCTGCAACTTCCAAAATCATATCAATAATGCTGTGTAAAAAATATATTAAAAATTACCTTTGAATTATGTAGAAATTTTCACAAATAGAAAAGTTTATTAAAGTTTGCTGGAAACTGCATACAACAACAACAACAACAAAAACAACAACAACAACAAAAAATAAATGCTTTGAATTGAGTTGAAAATTTAAAAAAAATAAACTTAAATCAAACTTCTAACTTAAAAGGTAATTTTCGTTTTTTAAATAAAACATAATACAAAATATTATTGTAAATTTTTATAATAAGATTTTAAAAAGCAAAGATGGTCAATACTCCGATAACTCACTCTAATTCTTATTTTAGTAATGAAAAGTCTTGCCACCGAGAATGCCCTTTCCGATTCAATTGATGTGATTGGAATAGTGTTTAATGCATTTAAGAGAAGACAGATATTATGTGTTTTTTCACCTGTAGCCTGGAAGATTTCGAGTTCGTTTTCGAGATTGTAGTACTTCTTTCGCTCTCTAGTATTCTTGATTTGTCTACCTTGGCTGCTTTAATAGCGGCATCAAGCTTAGAGCTCGATAATTCGGCAATTCATTTGGCTTTAATAATCAGGTTTATGAAGAAAAACTTCATACTTGCAGACTTTGTACTCGTTTGTATCCTTGCCCAATTTGCACAATCTGGCGTCAGGCATTTATTGAAGCTACTGGGCATGGTTAAAAATTAAGACAGCATAAGCACAATTATTCCATATATTACAGGTTCTGACAAGTAAAGAATTTTCAGAGTCCTGCCACAAATAAGCTATGTATTGATTATTGACCATTTGTGACATGCCATAACAAGCAAAACTTTAAAAAACTAATAAGAAAGGTTTTAAATTAATAAATTTAAAATTAATAAATACAAATGTATTCTGACTGCTTATGAGTTAATTATATCTTCTATTTGAAAAATTTTCTCAATCTTAACACAAAATAAGAAAAAAGTGAATTTTTAAGAAATATGTGGGATTTCCCGGAATAAGAAAAATTTCCAGGGATATTTCCCAGGTTAAAAAAATAACCGGGATCCCGTTTAAGAAACCCTAGTATATAGAACTACATTTTGTCTTTTTGTTTGTTTAATTTTAAAAATTGTTGTTTTAATTTTTTAATTCATTACAATACACACCTGGAATGGCATTGCAATACATGTGTACCAAGACATGTCAAGTTGAGTACTACTAAAATAAAACAAAAATTTGACCTAATATAAATTTAAATATTAGATTTGTGTATTACAATTCTTCTTTTTTAATTGAAGAGAGCCTCCCTAAAATACGGACTCATTGCGACTGAGTTTTTTTTTTACTTTAATCTGAAGAATATTGTAATGCTTGATATGTATATCTGAATAAATAATACACTGCTGGTCAAGCAAAATGCAACACCACGATGGAGTATATATATTGAAACAATATGTTTTAGACAAATAACACAGGACACAAGGGTGAAATGATTAAACTCACAACTCTGATCAATTGGCAGAATGTGAAAAAATCATTATTTTGTGCAGCTGCCACACACCAGGGCATTGAATGAAAGAGACTTTAGATGACTCTCTGGTATATGCCATACTATGCTGCTTCTGCATGTTGCCAAAGTTCATCTGACTTGCATGAGTTTAATGTATTAATCTTAACACAAGAGAGTGAACTATCTACACATTTAGATCAATTCAGTAATTTAATTAATTAATAATTAGATTAATTCTAGTTCACAAATAATCTGGCTTAATTAAAAATTTTACGTAAATATATAAACCAAACATTTTTGGATGTTTGGCTTATATATTTACATAATAAAATTTTAATTGATATTCATTATTTGTTCAAATCTAAATGACAATTTTATGTATAAAAATACAAGATTACTATTAAGATTGTTATTTAAAAAATTAAATAAAACTTTAAAAAGTTGAAAGTAATAAATATTTCCATACTTTTTTGGTTCAACCAACTTTTTGGCCAACGAAAACTGACAACAATACAAGATTTATTTTCAATATCATAACAATTTCCCAACACATCTGATTCACAAGAAATATTTTGGAAGAAAGAAGCTCTGTGGATGTTTTTTGTATCTTCAGGCCCATTAAGTAATGTTACAGAATGATCTGACAAAAAATAAATAATAAAAATTGAAAATTTTTAATGTATTATTAAAATTGCTATAGGAAACTTTTAGTAATTAAAAATTTTTTAATTTACCATTATCTTTTAAATAAAGTTTTATTTTCTGTATCGATCCATCACCAATAATAGAAGATTCAGTTTCAGCTCTATGAAATTCCATGTTTTGAAGTTGTAATATTATGGTTGGTTTATCTAAAAATTTAATATAAAAATTTCATAAAATAATTTCATAAAGTTTGAGAATACCTTTAAATTAATTAATTTTATACCTTTAATAAATGCATTCTGTAGTATGAGTGCGACAATATTATGTGAAAATGTAAAACTTGAATCAAGCCATGAGAAACACATGTATAATAAAGCAATTAGATGAGAGTGTTTTAACTGAATATTTATGTTGTTAATTTCTATCCAATCATTGACTAAATGAATATTCTGATGACTTGACCATAGTGATTGTAAGAGTAACAACTTTCTACACAGGACAAAACTACATGGTAATAATAATGTGTGTAATGCTTTCTCTTCTCTTGCTAAAGTTGCTTCAAGCCCAAAAACCTATAACAGAGAAAATAATGTTAAATAAATGTATATTTTAATTAAATACGAGATAATCAAATAAAGTTTACTTATGAAAAGTATAATTGGTAATTCTGGAAGTAAGTGGCATCTAAATGCTTATCATATTATCACAACAATGATAAATATTTTAACTTATTTAGAACTTGCAATCTTGCAACTTTAGCAAATAAATGTTCAAAATTCAGTATTTCCTGTAGTGCACAACTCACTCATGACATTGCCAAGTTTACGCCTCAAACTTTTCCTTAGATTATCATATACAATTAGTATTTAATTTTGTAAGTTTATTTGATTAGTAAATTGATCAATATACATCTGGATACCATTTAAATAAAGGTAATTTACTACAATATCTTTTCATACAAAAGACTCAATACAGGCAGCTGCCTTCAAGATACAGACAATTTTGTTTCATATTAAAATATTTACCATGAAATACTCATTATAAATTGAATATAGTATAAAATTCTATGCATTACATTAACAGCCAGTAAATAATCTTTCAATTAATTGAAATATTGAATTAAGTGAATAGAATATTCAGTGTGACTACATGATAGAAAATTGCATATTTAATTACATAAAATCAAATTTTATGCAGACAAATAAATTTTTAGATTAGTGATGATAAGTTCAAAACAAATAAAATGTAAATTATTGTTTGAAGTTTCTTGGAGCTTCCCAAATGTTTTGAATCTAATCCAGGAGAATATTGAAACGTTCTCTACAAGAAATAATGAAAATGTTTGGCTCTCTATATGTATGCTCAACTAATGACTTACGTTTTTAGTAACATAACAAGTTCATATAAACAGAGCATACAAACAAACAATGAAAGTATTGTAAAATATTGATAAAATTTAGTTTAAAAATTTCATTAATTATAGAAATATAACTAATAAAACCATTAAAAAGAATTAACTAATTATATAGAACTAAAAAATATCAAAACAAATTTAAAATTTTACCTTTAAAGAATAATGAGCATGACACTGATGAAGAAGAGTTTCTGATGGATTTTCAAGAGATGATACTATCTTTGCCATTTTATAAGGATACATGGGTTTACTAAATTGAAAATCAATTGAATCCATACTAATTACTACAATAATGCTTTGGTCAGAATTTTGAGTTACATTTCTTATATCTCTGATCTTTGATAATCTATCTTTCTGCAAAAAAAATATTTTTATTAGCAAATAATTGGACAATTTAAAAAGAACACAAAAATAAAATAACATTTTTAAATACAGTAAATTGATGAGTGATAATATAATTATAAAATACTCATTGTAATTGTGTAAGATTCAAATTTAATTTAAAAGTTCTGTTTTATTCTAAATATATAATAATAATAATTTATTTAAATTATGAATTCTGTAGTATTATTATTAACAAGTAAATAAAATAATTATTCATATTTAAAAAATTATATTCTTTCATTCTTCTCATTCTTTCTACACATCTTTCTAATATTAACTTATTTCTTTCCTATGAAAACATGTCCCATCCAATTTGCTGCCTTCAGTTTTGTCTTATTGATAGTCTGCCCACTTTTTCCAGCCATATTCAACACTTGCTCATTGCTTAAAAGTCTATCTAATTTTTAATATTTGGTGTCTAGGGGGAGGCAGTGAACCCCTCCCCCTAGACACCAAATGTGAAATCGTTGGCGAGGAGTCAGGACAAACACCAAACTCTTGACACCAAATGTGAGATCAGGAATGGTGAGATCCCGCTCACTATAATCAGGATAGATAATTAGTCTAATGATAAGAAGGCTGAGAACCATGAGATCTCTGCCTAAACATCAGAAGCCTGACACCAGTTAAAATATTGGTTTTATATCTCATTCTAACTCACAATAGAACAGAAGGAGGGATAGGAGGGATGATAGTTCATAGGAACAAAAGTGGAAGTAGGCTCTTATCAATTTATAAAAAGATTAAATATACAGTGGGTGATCGGTTAACGAACAGATCGAATAATGAACAAATCGGATAACGAACACTTTCGCAAAAGATTTTTATGTTCGGACAATGAACACATGATCGGATAACGAACAGCCCACAGAACAAACATAAGAAGAAGTGTAAAATAATGAATACAGATTGGACTTTCCTTGTCTTCGGGCAACAATTTGAAACTTTTCAGAGTGTGGGAGACGTCGACATCGACGCTCAAGCCGGTATATACCGATCGGATAGTATTCCTCCGAACTTTGAAACTCTCCCTTGTAATTCCAGCCTTTTATTTTTCTGACAAAACAATTCATTTATGTATTCGCGAGACTGTCGGGTAGGCACTCTTTAAGTTTTGCGTCGGTTTTTATTTTCGAAAGGTGAGAGTATAATACTAAAGATTAAAGAGTGGGCAGAAGATTTCTGATGTTGCTGGGCAGTGTGGCTTGAACAGGTCTACAGTATGCGGCAGTTCAATCTAATTTGAGAAAAATACTGTATAATCAAGAAGACTCAAGCAGCTAAAGGAGTAACAAAAATCATATCTGAGAAATAAAGAACATCGAAGAGCTCATAATTGAATCCGAAAGTTATCTGACGACTGAAGACCGCGAAGAATTCTTGAATGAAGAACACCAAGAAACTCGGCGAGATATGTTTTCTTCTGAAAAAAGTGGATTAATGTCGATATCTGTTATTAAAGATCCTTTGAAGAAGTGGGATGATGTCAGAACGATGGTCTTAGAATGGCATCCAAACCAGGTTGAGGCTTGGAGATTTCTACAATAGCAATGCTATTAATTACTTACAAAAAATCCTGACGAAGCGAGAAAAGCAATCGACATTAGACAGATTCTTTAACCCTTTCAAACGCAAAAAGACATGACTAATAAAAATGCAAGACTGTGTACGTATGTATTTTTATTATTACATATAAATAAACGTAGTAAGAAAGTATATATTTTTTATTTTTAGGGGTCTCCAGAACCAATTAATTAAATTCCCATTAAAACCTATGGTAAATTGATAATCGGTTAACGAACAATTCGGATAGCGAACAAAGTCTTGGAACGAATTATGTTCATTAACCGATCACCCAGTGTATTTATTTATACATTAATAAAGAAAGGATTACAATTAACATAATATTCCAATAATAATATATCAAACCAACATTAGACTAAGTGGGAAAACAAGGAATTGATTATTCAACTATTTAACTATCCTAATGCAAACTACAAATATTTAATCCGATTTTTCAAGAGATCTTACAATAATTCATATTCATTACCTGTCCATGTAATGATGGATATGATGAAAGAACCTTTTTCTTTGAATGGAAGGACTTCTCATATCATTCTTTCATGATGAGATCAATGCACCAAAGCAAAGATGGGAACTAATAGGAACTTAATCTATTGGCTATGCAGCCTGTGGCTGTGACATGTTATTCATGACAAAAAGTGCTGTTTCAAGGCCATCGTCACCTTTTATACCAAATACATGAGGATTGTCCACAATTCCTTTCTCACACTTCTAAAAATTTCATTTTAGAAGGAACTATCCTCTTTTCCTTTGACTCAGAGGAAGTTAATGATGATAAACATCAATAAAATTTCCTTCATTTTCAAGATAAAATAATATTAAAAATGTTCCCCATATCAATTCCCAGTTCTCACATCATCTTCATAGTCACATCTATAATGCCTCAGTGTTCCTTTTCTTATACTCTCTCAATGTTCATACTTCCTTCTTATCCTCTCTCAATGTCGATATAAGAATTTACTCCAAATAAAGTATTTTGTTATGTTCTTCGTCAGTTCTAAATCTAGTGATCTATAAATCATTCTAGGGTCATTTCATTGAAGTCTTAGTATCCCTATTTATCTTTCTTACTTATATCACCACCTAAATATTCAAGTTATACTGAAAGTATTATTATTTGAAAACTATTGGCAGTACAGGAACAAACAGACTATATAATTGCAATTCTACAACTGGCTAAGTAACAGAACATCAATAATGATATGATTCAATCAGTAAAAAAGTTAATTTCTTATCTACTTTGAGTAAAATTAAACAATCTCTTCTTGAATTTATACCAAAAAGTATTTGGTTTAGTTGACAAATTTACATTTCTTTCAGTGTAGCGTTTTTCTCAAGCAAGTTAGAAAGTTGAAACAACTTCTAAAATGACTATAAACACAAATTCTAAGAAGCTTTCTAAAACTTATTTATTACCTTTGGTAAATGAAATGATTAACTGTTTTATTCTAGAATAATTCATAATATATCAGGATTCTTATTAGAAAAAATAGAGTATTAATACTATATTACCTTTCTATGTTTCCTGGATGTTTTCTTAATATTTAATTTATGATAGGGATGATTTGCTACATGAATATGAATAAGTGGTTTAATTAAAGTAATATGATAAATTCTTTGAGGTACAAATTCTTCTAATTCATCAACAATTTCATCAGAAAAACTAAACAATTTTGAAGCAGCATCTGAAAAAATATATTATGTAGAAAATTTAAAAAATATGTTTTGGAATAAAGTAACAATAAAAAAATTAATTTATACTAACCTAAATTATTCATATTATAAGGAGGATAATCATAAATATTTGCATAATGATAAAGTTTTAAAAATCTATGGACCATATCACTAGATACTTCAAGACAGGAAGGTCCAAGCACCATTCGACAGAGAGACCGTTCATGAAAATTATTTTTTTCCAAATATAATGGAGTTATGTCAGAGTAAGATCCTAATTAACAAAATAATAATATATCACATTGTTAATTTATAAATAACTTAATTTTACAAATTTATCTTGCCAATATAAATATAAATCAACTGCTTAATTTTATAAGGGAAAAATAAACATGCTTTGATAATCAGATGGCTGAGATAATTAAGGTATCAGTCTACCACTTTGGAGACCCAAGATTAAATCCAGGCAGAAAACTCTCTAGAAATTTTTCATGTCTGTCCTAGTAATTTAGACCTATCCTTTACCACCCTGCTATCCCATTATGGGCCTAACTGAATCCATAATAGAGATTTGTATCCCATAGCAACACCATTTGGCCAAACTGTTCTTTTAACCACTTAGACATTATAAAATGTACAAAAAATGGCTGATTAACCAAATACTTTGTCAGCATATAGTGATGACAATAACTAAATTCAAAATAAGAACCAAATGATGTTGCCAAAATTATCTGGCTACTTTTGGGCTTCATTAATAATTAATTATTAATTAATTTGACTATTAATTATTAATTTAGTTCAAAAGTAGCCTGATGATTTTGGCAAGGCCATTTGGTTTAATCAATTAAAATCAGATTACGAGTTGTTTATATACAAAATAAAAGCCCTTTAGTACAGTATCTTCAATTGAAGACACTAAAACAAAAAACAAAAATAAATGTACTCATTGAAATTAATTAATTTATGTATTGTTGGCATTTGTTTCTTAACATCATTACAACTTTCAATAAGTTAAACACAAGTTTTGGATTTGATAATAAAATACATTTGCATGTTTATTTTTTCTTCCTGGTGCTTTAATTAAACAATTAATTTATATTCATATTTTAATTTTTTGAAGCATTAGTTGTTACATTTTACCTTGCCAATCTTCAGGTAATTCAAGTTCATAAAAGTAGTCAAAAGAAAATGCTGGAAATCTTTCAATCATTATACTTTCAGTAAGTCTGGTTAAATGATCTTCTCTATCAAAATTATATTCTCTTCTTTGATTGCAATTTTCGGGTGCAAGTGGATCAAACAACGAAGAAGTACAATAATTATAGGTATGGCCGTTAGAAGGAAGTATGCCAGCTCGAAAATAATTATTTTCCTAAAAAATACATGTTTAAAAAAATTAATTATGCATTTATAAGCATCAAAGAACATATAATAAATGAAATATTACATTATCTAATAATTCTCCATCACTATTATTGCATGGACAATCACCAATTCCACTTAGAATAACAGCAGTTACACCCATATGAATATTTGCATAATCTTCTCCTTTTTTGGTGATTTCAGTTGCAATTCCATAAAAATTAAGGTTTATTATTGGCTGAAAACTAAGTTTGGGAGGACTGTAATACGCTGTATCTCGAAGAGTTTCTGATAACTAATTGAAAAAAGAGAATTAACATATTTTTGTTACATTTATTCGTTTAAAACAACAATAACAAATTTGATAAATTTTTATAATGTCTAACTTAAATATTTAATCTTAAAAATGATATAAAACAAACAAAAAATTCTCTAACTCTATTACTTAAACTATTAGTACTAGTGCTAACGGAAACTGGAAATTCTCAAAAGTAGATAATGAGTTTTGGTAAAAATCAGGTTTTAAATATCAGATGTCAGTTTCATAACCACTTTGAATTCAATATAATTAACATTTTATTATTGCACTTTATTAATATTAATTAAGTACTACAGTAAATAAGTTATTAATCAAGATTCACAAATATGCCTGTATCAAGCATTATATATGATTAAAAGTAGTCAGCATTTCTTCAAATGGTAAATGCTGGAATCTTTGTATTTAAAAAAACAGCATTTGAAAGTTAATTTTAAAATTTTCCAGTAGTAAAGTATATCAGTTGTGTAGAATAATCTTAAACCAAACGTACTGTACTTTACTGCAAACTAACAAAAAAGGAATTAAATTCAATGATACTGTAATAATGATAACAATTTCATTGCCTATTCCAAACCAGTTTAAAAATAAATTTTAAGTGTTTGCTAAAATCACAGTTTATTGAAAACCAGTTTTGTTGCCAGCAATAATCAGTATATCTTTTTTTTTTCACTTTTTCTGTTTTAAGAGCACTAATAGGATCTCTCTTCATATGCAACATAAGTTAATCAAACCAAGAATAAGCACTTAGTAGCAAAGATGGGACCTGACATATCTAATCAAATTGACTAAAAGAATTTAAGGATCTAACTGTGATAAGCCCATATCCCCAGAACATTGGGCCAATACAATCTGCCACTTAGGCCATCAAGTCGAAGTGGCAGATTGTATTGACAGATTTTTTTTTGTTTGTTTGATTTACCATTGCTAGTCAGGAAGAAAATAAAACTATTGTTGATATTATTTTTAAAAATAAAGACAATGTATATGGAATATGAAAAACTTAAATAGTTTTCTCATATTGCCAATTACAAATGTTTTGAAGAATTAAACAGAAGAAAATTTCCAGCACCAATATGTATCTCAAACTGTATTTTTTTTTAAATCTTTTTCCCTTTTAAACTCCCTTCACTCTGTGGGCACTAAAAAGGCCTTTTTCTATACCTATTGCAGATTTGGCTTGGCAACCAATGAGAGCAACTAGGTGGTGAGAGATAAGGCACAACATATCTGTAAATAATTGCTTGTGAAAAATTCCTGGAGAGTTGCTCACTTGAATTCAATCTCAAGTTCCCAGAACATTAGGCTTACACCTTCACCACCTTAGCCATCCTCCCATCCTTATGCTGTATTAATTTATTAATTTATAAATTTATATTATTTTGTTTCCACTTTTCACATTTAGACTTTATAGTCTTTTATGTGTTTATACCAATTTCAAAGCTCAAATCCATACTTAGAAAGTACCCTCAATTTAATGCTATTTAATAAAATCTTTAAATAAATCTTTTGTGTAATTTAAATTTTTACTTCTCAAATTAATTTTGAAAGTATTTCATTTAGAATTATTGTAGCAAATATTAATAATCTAAAGTAATAGTTTTAAATATATCTAGTTTGATGAAAAAATTGAATATTTAGAACAAACATTATTCTTTAAATATGTACCTTAAATACACAGCTTGCTTTATCAATAAACAATCCAAATTGTGTTATGCAAGAAGTCAACAATTTTGCATTAATTTCATCCATTCCTTCTTCATCTTCCCAAAGTGGAAAAATTTCTGGTACGAACGACCATGCCCAACTGGCCCATCCAACATTGCTTCCATCTGATTGCCCACCTGCCTGAGATACTATGTAAATAAATAATAAAATGATTGTAAGTACATCTAATAAACTAAATCCTTTTTCATTTGTATACTTATATACTTGACTAAAATTATATAATTTTTCAATTTTATTGAAATTTAAGCAAAAAAATATAAATAAAATTTATGACACATTTAAACATGTATGAGTCACTACAAATGGTTGTAAATGTTTGTGTGAAGTGAAAAATTGGCCAACTACCATGGCTACTCAAGAAAAATTTAGATATGGTAAGATATGGCTACTGTATTATAAAAAAAAAAATACTTGAGAACTTAATCCCTCTTATCTTTAAGTTTCAAGATTCAATGTACAAAAATATTCACCTGACATATTTTGTTCTTGATTTGATGAATTATTTACTTCTAATTCAGAAGAAGCAACCATTTCTTCATAATTACATCCTACTTCGCCATAAAGTAATAGCAAGCATAACTGACCTAAACGTAGTAGCATGGGTAACTGTTGATCTGTTATTGAGAAGTCTAAACAATCGCAGAATACATGTATTCGAGTAACAGCTGCTAATTTAGAATGTGGACTATCGTAAGCACTGTACCACCTCCACACTGTTGAACATCGATATAATAATGGATCTTGATAAGTCTGAATTTTTCCACTAGCATCTCTCTGTAAACATAATTTGTAAAATAAAATTGTTATATACAGATAATCACAGTTACAAACAATAGATTTTGTAAAATAAAACAAAAATTTCACATCATATTTTGTAGAAATCTTTGAAATTTAATAAAATTGACAATATTCTAAATATTCTGCATATCTAATTTTGGTATTTTATTTTTGTAAATATTTTGGACTTTTATTTCCTGCTTCAATTTCTAACGCTGGGGTTCACAATTAATATAAATTCCCATCTGGCTTCCATCAACTAAGAAATATTATCCTATCAATGCTTCAATCAACAATATAATTAAAAGTAATTCCATCTATAAAATTTTATAAATAATTATTAATAAAATTTATCATAAAAGTGTATGAATCTTGATACAACAGGGAGTCATTTATAATGTTAAAGTGCTAAGTTCAGTAAGCTAAAATTATTCTTTATTTGATGTTTTTGACTATTCTATTGCTGTCTTAAGCTCACAACTAATACTAATAAACGACTTCAACAAACACAATTATTGTAACACATCACTGTTCAGTGACAATTGCATTAAGACTAATATTAAATATATATTTAAAACTAATTTATTATTTTAAGAATTCTAGAACTTCCAAACAATGTGGTATGTGTTCAATATCGTAGCTTTCTGTAGTGCCATGTATATATTTTTATTAAGGTTTAATGTTTCTAGACTTTTATTTAGAGTGTATTGTACACTAAGACCATCAATAGACAAGAGGACAACAGGTATAATAAATACCCAATCCTCCAGGACTGCCTTATTTCTAGGGTGAGTGGAGTGTGCTTGTTTATTTTTCGAGTGTGTGCATTTTTCATGTTATGAGTCTTTGGAATGGATATGTCTATAATGCATGTGATTTTATTGTGTTTGTCAATGAGTCTGATGTCTGGTCTGTTGTGGTAAATTGTTTTATCTGTTATAATTATGGCTCTGTTGTAGTACATTTTGTGTGTGTTGTTTCCAATACTGTCTGTGGAATATATTTATAGTATAATTCGTGAATGGCTAATAATTTGTGTTTGTTTGCAAGCTCTTGGTGTATTATATTTGCTACTTGATTATGTCTATGTAAATAACCTGTCTGTGCCAAGAGCTTGCAACCAGAAGTAATGTGTTGTATAGTTTCTGGTATAATGCGGCATTTTTTGCATGTGTCATTTGTGAGTGTTGTATCTTTGAGTATGTGTTTTCTGTAGTTTTTAGTATTTATGACCTGATCCTGTATGGCAATCAAAATCCTTCCGTCTCCCAAAGAGGCATCCTCAATCTAACCTGCTGTTTGACGCAGTTTTGTCAATAAAATCCTGGGCCAGGTCGTAAGGATGTCTGCTAGGGAGTGCCTTTCGAACCCATGACTATGTCTATGCTTTTTATATGTTGTCAAGTCTGTATGATGTAAGTGTAAGTTTAATGGTATGTTATTTGAGTCTGCTAGAGTTACTGTTTTATGTAACTGTGACGTTTCTTGTTTCTTGTAGAAAAACTCTCACAGTGACTGTATTTGTTTGTAGTGAAGGTTAACTATGTCAATCAGGCCACGTCCGCCATCTTTACGTGGAAGGGTTAATCTTTCTGTGGCGGATTTAGGATGATGTTGTTTATGCTTAGTAAGTGTTGTTCTAGTTTTCCTTTGGAGTTGCTCGAGATCTGTGTGAG